TTCCGATGACAAAGGTACCAGCAAGCCCTTTGGGTCTGCCTCCCACCCACCACCACGGCCTCCTCAGACACGTCTGCTGAGAGCGCTCACTAGCACGGCCTCCACCAGAATCCGAGTCCAGGTTACAGTTGACTTGGAATTCATTGAGAAAGTTCCTTTCCTCCTGTTTTCCAGCTATAGTCCAAAGAGCCTGGCATGTCGGGAGGGAGGGCCATTTACCATCCTGCCCGGTCTCCCGCGTCCCACCTGGAAGACCCAGGGGAAAAAGGCCAGGCTCCGTTCAGGGCTGCAAAGCAGCTGTTGTCCGTATCGAGCCAGGTTACCCGGTCTGGGCAGTTCTGTGTGCACCTCCTATCCTGGGCTGGGAGACTTTAGGGGGTGCGACAGGAGGGTGGAGAATGCTGACAAGTCTCCTATCTTTTCCTTCCCCCAGCACAGCACAGCTAGGGCCACCAAAAACCTGGGCTTCTCAACCTGAACAGCCCCCTGCTCGAACCCTTACGCTGCCATCCACTGGCCCGCCCAGCCTCCCTGAGGTGCACTGGGAGCTTCGGCACTGCTTCTCTCCGCTTCTGAGAGTGGCCTGCAGGGCCTCCGTCAGGCCCAGATCTGACTCACCCCTGAGTTCAGGCCTGCTCTCTGCTCCTTGATACGTCTCATACTGACTGAGACTCATACTCATACTCATACTCATACTCTCATACTGGCTGACTACGCAGCCCGGCCCTTCCCCAGCCAGTGTGGTAGGTCCCTGGGGGTTTTGACCACCTTCCGGGGGAGCCCCTGAGTCTCACCTGCCCCACAATGTCTGCGGCCTGGGCCTGGCCACCATGAGGCATCAGGAACAGCGGCAGCCCGAGAAAAGGGTCCCTGGAGCCGCCGTGCAGGAGGCTCCCCCGAGAACACGACAGAGGCAGAGGAAAGAAGAGAGAAGAGACAGAATGGGGGACACCAAGTCCCAAAGACACTGTCTGCGTTCCTGGACCCAGCCACTCCCAAAGCCCCGGGCTTTTGATATGAATCAATTAATTGCATTGTTTTCTGCTTGCGCTGGCTAAGAACGGTGCTTCCGTCCCTTGCCTTCACCTGACCGACACTCACGGCTGGCTTTCAGTTCAGGGCTGTTTCACTGTGTTGTTGTTGTTGTTTTCCCTCTGCTGGAGATGGTTACAAAGAACACAGAGCCACTGGTGTGGAGGCTTCTCCACGCCCCCAGTGCCTGGCTTGTGCTGCTCGAAAATCACTTCGGCAAATGACAAAGTACCGCCTACTCTGGACTTTCAAGATTGCCCTGGAGCATCCAAAGTTGCCACTGTAATGAGTGCCAAAGGTCTACTGAATGAAAAGGTTTTCTTCACGAGCTGTCTCCTCTCACCGCCCAGGCCTAAGTCACCCGGGGTGGCGGTGGGGGGGCAGCGCCCGAGCCCTCCCCTGTGCCGAGGGGCTGGCCCACCCCTGCACTGCGCTGTGCAGGGCTGGCTCGGAGCTGGCCTTGACCCCAGATACTTGGGCATCCTTGGGGCTTGTGAGAATGCGCTGGGGAAAGATCTGGGCCATGCGGTTTGGAAAGCAGGGGAACTAGGAGAACATGAAAGCCTGTATGAGATTTACTGTAAGCAATTCGAGATCTCAGGAAAGAAAATAGATGGCTTGCAATCAAGCAGAAAATAATGAAACCTTCTCAAGCCTTTGCACTCAGCCTGGGGTAAGCAAAACTCAAAGGCCAGCTTTGCCACTGTTCTTTCAGCCTCTGAGGGTGAAGTGTCCAGGCTGCACTCTGCTGCATCTGTGTCTGCCCATGGCGCCCTCACCCTGGCTCCACCCAGGGCTGGGGACAGCCCGTGCACAGGAGGCAATGACTCTGCTGTGACAGCTGCCCCTGGGCCTCAGGCATGAGCCTCAGAGCCTTGCTAGGAGGGAGGGACGGCCAAGCGCTCAGTCAGACCCACACTCCCGCACACACACAATCAAGTCACCCTTTGCACAATCTCAGACACAACCACCAAAACCCACATCATCTCACACCCAGCCCCTCAGACTCACCCATCTCCCGTCCACACACGCCCTGCCACAAACGCACACATACTCAAACTGTGTTCGGCTGCGTTTCCCAGCCCCTCCTCCCCCAGCTCCACTTCTCCTGGCCGAACAGCATATGATTTGAGAGACTTGCTCTCTTTTTTGGGCTACCAGGTCATGTGTCCAACTGCCCAAAGTAGCACAGGATCACCCTGAAATGGTATCAAAGGGTTCAGCAAAGCTAAAACTGGACCCCAGAGCAGGAAGGCCCTTGGGATCGCCTGGTCCTGTGGTTTTTAAGCTGTGTTTGCAGAACTGGGGCTTCCCCCTAAGAGCAGTCTCCTGGCACCAGGGAGGACCCATCACCCACTGCAGGATGTCCCTGTGGCCATGTCTCCACCACGAGGCGCCAAGCCAAGACTGAGGGCAAGACAGGACAGCACGGGGCACAAGAGGCTCCTGAGCACAGCTGGGAGAGGATGGGACCAGCAGCGGCCAGTATCCGAGGCCTGCCACCCGCCTAGAGCCCTGCCAAGCACACGACATGTATTTCTTCGTTTAATCTTGTGAGGCAGGAATTATCATCCTCATTTTACAGAGTAAGAAACTCAAGCTCAAAGGAGTTTGGAGTCAGGCCTGAAACCCAAGTCTGTTTTATTCCCAAGTTCAGGTCCTTAAACAGCAAACCCAGAGAACCCCGTCCAGGACCAGGCTGCCTGGGTTGAGCTGTGTGACTTTGGGGCAAGTCACTCGCCTCTCAGAGCCTCGCCTCCTCACCTGAAAGACAGAGATGGTGATGGTGATCGCAATAGTGACCCCTAACAGGGTTGCCGTGGGGATTATATGCGTCTCTTGTAAAATGCTACAGCAAAGGATCTGGCACACAGGAAGCTTACTAGATGCTGGCTGCTTTCCTTCTTCCTGCCGATGAGAATGTTCTCTATGCTGTCTTCTTAGAAGAAGGGAAAGGGAGGCCACAGGAGTAAGACAACTCCCACCAAAGCACTGCCGGGGCCAATGCTAAAGCAGGTCTCCGTGCAGGTCCTCCTGGGAGGCAGGGGCCAGGCTGCCCATAGCTGCCCTGGGAGGCTTCGGAACCACTGGCCTCCAGGACCCAGGGAAGGTCCTCGGGGGCCCTAAGCAGGAGAGACTGTCTTTATATACTCTCTCTGGGGACAAGGGGAAGGAGGGGACCCCCACAGCGTTGTGTGTGTCTGTGTGTGTACCCATGTGTCTCTGTGTATATCTGTGTCTGTGTATGTCTCTTTGTGCCCGTGTCTGTCTGTGTGTCTCTGTGCGTCTCTGTGTGCGTGTGTGTCTGTGACTGGCGGAGGGGGAGGGGCAGGGCCACGCTGTGACTCTTCGGGCCCGTGGGCACGAGGCTGTGCAGGTCCAGCAGGGTAGCCCCCCCGACACAGATGCCCCAAGGTGCCACGACCTCGGCAGGGACTGACCCCTGCGTGGCTTGGTTGGACGGGGCGGGGAGGTGGCAGAAACAGCCCCAGTGCTCCAGCTCTGGATAACGTGAAGCACAGCCTGGACATGCGGCCCCGAAGCCCCCTCGGACGGGCAGGGCTGCCAGAGCAGCTCCCTAAGGAGTGTGCATGTGAACAGGGTGCCCAGCCCCCAGGCTGACAAGCCCCGTGACACCTAGAGCAGACACACTGAGCACAGAGACCTTGACCCTCAGAGCAAAGGGGCCCCCATACAGATGGGGAAACTGAGGCCAAGAGGATTGCAAAAGGGCCTGGCCCTCCTGAGAGCTCAGCTTCCCCTCAGGGAGCCCAAGGGTCTCACCCACACACCCGTCAGCCCAGGGATTAGCAAACCCAGGCCTGGGGAGAAGGCAGGGCGGCTTACGGTCGCCGGGCACGTGAGCCCGGCCAGGAATGAATCATATCATTATGGCAGGATTAGAAGGAAAATGCCGTTAGAAAGTGCACACACATGCATTTAATAAGGTCAGGAGCAGCGAGCAGCAGGCAGGCTAGCAGCACGAGGCTGCAGAGCCCCTGCCCTCCTCCTCTCACCCGCACCAGAGGCCACGGGGAACTCGGACAGGGCCCGGCCAGGACCAGGAGTGGGGGGCGAGCGTCTCCTTCTGCCGGGCCTCCCCAGCCTGGGCTCCGCATGGCTACTCTTTCCGCCTCCCCAGTTCCCAGGGCCCGCCTGCTCAGAGCTGTTCCCGAATCTTCCCCAACACCACGCACCCCTGCAAAGTGCAAATTCATTCCCCCAGATCTCCACGCCCTCTGGGGTCTGCGCTCTGCTCGGAAGTGGATGGGGCAATCGATTGTACTTTACAAACCTATTAACGCGCTGTTAATCTGCTACCCTCTCTAGTGACATAATGCCCAGGTGACAAACACAGAAAAGAGGCCTAGAAAGCTCCTAGGGAATGAGGGTGATGGCGGAACTCCAGTTCTCGGGCAGCCCGGGAGGCCGCGCTTGTTAAGGATGCATGGAGTCCAAGCCGGGGACCCAGCCTCCCTGCTCCCCCGGCCTCCAAGGCCCCGGGGCACACTCAGCCCCTCAGGGCTGGCCCTAGACACGAACCTTGAAGCCTTCGGGACCGCCTTGGCCTACAGCAAGTTCACAGGGCCCTCAGTCATCTCCCAGTTCTTATGTCCCCGCACATGTCTCGGGGGAGTCCACGTGTGTGCTCAAGTACGTGCCCATTGCAGTGCCGCTGGGACACCAGGGAGGCTGTAAGCTCTTTGGGGGGTCTTTTGGATCCGAATCCCATGCACTCCCCAGCACACGTGGGGAGACGGAGGAGAAGGTAGCACTGAACACACATGTACAAAGGATGTAACTGTTCTCTCTCCCCTGTCCAGCCAGCTGCCCCTAGCCCACTGCTTCATCCATCCATGCTCACTAGGCACCCACTGTGTGCCCAGCTCTGCCCTGGGCTCTGGGGAGGCAGCAGTGGACCAGACAGACAAGCCCGGCTCCCGGAAATGAATGAGGAAGATACTCACAGCTCTGTGGACCTGGACAGGATGGCCGACAGGGTGAGCAGGACACATCCGTAGGGGCCTGCTTCAAACTGGGAAGAGGAGAGAGGAATGAGAACCCAGCAAGTGTGTGCACCTCCCTCCTGTCACTTCCTTGGGGACCACGACCCAGGGAGCAGCCTGACCCCGAGCCAGCTGCTTCCAGCCAGGTCCCAGAGGTCGCCAGGTAGCCCCATGGCCGATCCCATGCAGGTCTCACTAACCAGAGTCCCTAAGGGATGAGGGGCACACCAGCCTGAGTGACAATGGAGCAGATGCAGTGCCCGCCGAGGAACACCCCACGACCGCCGAGCCCCAGAAGTTCACGGACAGCAGTGGCCTGGGGCAGCCTCCACTACCGTGCAAGCGTCTTCTGCTCATTATCACATTTAAAACTATCCCGGGCCTGTGCTATAAGTACTGTTATTACTGCCCTCTGTCATGTGAGGAGACCGGGGCTCAGAAATTGAGTGACTGGCCCGAGGTCACACAACTTGCAAGCAGCCCAATGGGTATCCAGGGGCCTCCGTCTGATTCCAAATCCCTAACTCCTAAGGGATCCTAAGAACTGCACTGGGCAGAGAGTAGCAGAGAGCAGGTCGGAGGTGAATCGGGTGGGGAGGTGCCAGTGAGGTGAGCATGGCAAGCGCAAGAGCAGATGCCATCGTTTCAAATTTTTTTGTTCATCGTGGATTGTTTGAGATTAATCTTAATAGTTTTAAACTATTGCACTAAAATATTATTTATGCTGATTACTGAGGTTTGGCGGACGCCTTTGAATCTGGGGAGCGCCTCACTCGTCTTCCCATCTTCCCCTAGTCTTGACCCTGGTTTGGAGCCCAGAACCTGGGGGCCTGGCTGCCTGGGTTTACATCCCGGCTCTGCCACTCCTAGCTATGTGACCACGGGGACATTTCTTAACTTCTCTGTCCCATCTCCTCATCTGTAAAACAAAGACAATAAAAATAGGACCCATCCTCATGAGGTTGTTGTGAAGATTAAGTGAGATCATCCTTGTAGAGCACTTCAAACAGGGCTTGACACCTGTGTTAGCTGTTAGTATGATGCTGGGTCCTCACTGCCCACGCGCCCAGTGAGCCCAGCAGGCCACGGATTAATGGGATGGACTATGTCATTTCTGCTTCCTGAAGGAACACCGTCTCCCAACTGCAAATGAGTGTGAAGGCCTTACTCATCCCACTATGGGGACGATACCACTTTCGGAATTGGTGATGAAGATGCTGCCTGTTACAATAGTCAGTGTTCCCTATGGGGTGATCAGTTTCTTTTTGAACTTAAAACTGAAAAAGAAAGCTTACTTTCCTGGAACAATGAGAATCATATAACTTATCATAGTGCCATTTTGCCTTGGCTGCCAGGAAGCTCAGAGCCAAACACGACGTTCAAACTACTCAAACTATTTTAGCTCAAGCTTCTGATAGAATTATCTTTTCTTTTCCTCAAAATATAGACTTTATCAAGGGAAGACAAATACCGTATGTTATCACTTATATGTGGAATCTAAAAAATAAAGCAAATGAATTAATACAACAAAAGAGAAACAGACTCACAGATATAGAGAAAAAATTAGTGGTTACCAGTGGGGAGAGGGAAAGGGGGAGGGGCAGGATAGGGGTAGGGATTAAGAGGCACAAACTATCATGTATAAAATAAATAAGCAACACGGACATATTGCACAGCACGGGGAAATATAGTCATTATTTTATAATAACTTTAAATGGAGTATAATCTAAAAATATTGAATCACTATGTTGTACACCTGCAACTAATACAATACTGTAAATGAACTATACTTCAATTACAAATATAGATTTATATTTTCTAAATATTATATAGGTATATAGTCTTTGTTTTCACCCAACAATTCAATTCATCAGTCATTCAAGCAAAAACAATTACTGCCTGACCTTTTTGTGCCAAGAGGATGCTCCCTGCTAAAGCTATACCTGCGAACAAGGTGGACACGGGTCTGCCCTCACGAGAAGTAACTCAGGAAAGAGAGAATAAATAAGCAATCTGAAAAAAAGTGGGGAAGGGGCTCTGCACTGATGGGAAAAACAAGGTTCCCTGGAGACACACAGGAAGGGCCTTCAATGCAGACTTAGGGCCTAGGGAAGGAGGGAGCTTCAAGGAAGGCTTTCCGGAGGAAGTGTTGTCTAGACAGAAGCCCAAGGGACAAGGAGGAGTCAGAAAAGGGAACGTTGTTCCAGGTGAGAGGAGGAGGACATGCAAAGGCCCAGAGGCAAGAGAGGGAAGGTCTACCATGGCCGCAGCACAGAGCAAACCCCAAGGACATCATTATTTTTTTAATAATTACCTTTAAATCTTTCTTTGGAAGCAGAAATGGAATGAAAGCATCAACAATAATCTTAAATCAACATCACCTTAATTCTGTGATCTCAGGCCAGTCACTTCACTTCTGTCGTCCTCAGTTTCCCATTTGCAAAATGAGGATAACAAATGCCTCCCTTGCATGTTTCCTTAGGTCACGCTGCATGTCCTATGAGGCCAGGTCGGTGGAAGCGCTCTGACAATTGCAGAGAGGAATGCTGATGTCCCTGCGCAGGGGGACAGAGGCCTGGGAGGACTCGGGCCACCAGTGCCCTTGTCACAGCTCTACTACAGTCTTGTCTGTTGCCTCGAGGAGTGACAAAGCTCTCTCAGTCTCAGTTTCCCCTTCTGAAATGCCCACCTACTTCTGCCACGGACTTGCACATTGTCCTGCGGAGGCCACGGCACTTCCTGGGTCTGTCTCCCCCACTGCCGTGCCTTCCTACTCGCAGGACTGCAATGAAGTAAGGAACACAGACTCCCGCTGTAAGCCAACTCTCTGTGTAAACGTGGAGAACTATTATTATACTCAGGCCAGCATTTTCCACAGTCCTTGGGACACGTCCAAGGAGACCTCATCCTGAGCCGCGGATATGCCCCTGCGTGTGGACAGGTTAGGTGAGACTGCAGAGGGCAGGGACATGACCCCCGTCTGGGGCCTCTGGCCCTTGCCGGACGCAACACGACTGAATGGCACCAATATCCCATTTTGTTTTTAAAACATTTATTATTGTAAAATTATCTCATCAAATTCCAGCTGCCAAGCCATGGAAGGCCACAGGGCGAAGTGCCTGCCCTGAAGGGAGAGTCCAGGCGGGCAACCGGGCCAGAACCCACCAGCAGGGTCTGGAAAAATGTCTGGTACCGCTTGGGAAGAAGGGGTCGTTCCACCGAGCTGCTCTGGCCCAGGAGAGACCTGAGTCCACCAAGAACCCCAGCGGGAGGCAGGGGCGGGAGCATCCCCCAGTTCACAGGGGGCGGCAGCCAGACATCTCACCAGGAGGGTGAGCGGTAATGAAAACACAGCAAGGAGGCTGTTTATTTTGGGCAGACGTGGTTTAGTGTTCATTTCCAGGCCTGGCACGAGGAACCCCTCCTAGGCCCAGACCATGAAAAATGAATTTGGTGAGGGTAGTGCTGAGGCAGCTCAACGGCTTCCAGCAAAAACATAATTTCAACTGCAGGGAGAAAACAACACCTTCCAGAGCGAGGGCCAAATGGTGACCCCTCGTACCCAGGGATCAAGGCCAGGAGAGGAGGGGGAATTGCTCTGAGCCCAGAGGTGTGGCAGGAAGTAGGCGGCTCCCGCCCCTGGCAAGGGTCCCACTCTCAGAACCTCTTTCTCACTCACTGCCTTGCTCGGGCTTCATCGAAACCCTGGGGGTACAGGCCAAGGGAGGAGGGAGACCCCATCTATAGACAAGGATGTAGACGATTTTGGTGCTGAAGGGCCACCCCAGGGCCTCAGGGGCAATGATGGGGCCTCAGATCCTGGGGTCATGTGAGCAATCACCCCAGGGCCCCTCCTTTGCCCCACAGGGCTTCCCTCCTCCAGCTCTGCGTCACCTGACAGTGTGAACACAGGTGCCCTTGGTCCTGGCCTCCCTGAATGCACACTGATGCTGTCAGGATTTGCTCGTCTCTCAGATGCATTGCTGTATTCTCACACTGCTCTGGTATGTTTAATAAAAGGTGTCCTTTCTGCTTATTTAAATTGCCTGGTCCTTAATTTGGAAGACATTCTTTCCCATGCGTTTAAGGTTCTTCTTTAAGAATCACAGTTGGACAGTAAAGAGCTGGAAGTTACCCGCTAACTAACTGCTCCATCTTCCACTTTCCAGATGAGGCCACTGAAGCCCAGTGACTATCCTGAGGCCACTTGCGACCAAGGAAAAAGGCAAAGGAGGTCCCGGGGCCTCTGCTCCAGGCACCCCATGGCCCTGAGCCGGTGGTGAGCATGCTGCATCTATAGACTGCCCACTGGGTTATGCTCATGAAGAACCAGAGAAAGTCAGGGAACAAGTGACAGCCAGCCCAGGACTCCCAGTGCCAAGGCCAGGACCCCTCCTACATCAGAGCCCCTCCCACGCACCTGCGGGACAGGCTGGCGCAGAAAGGCAGCATCCCTTGGCTCTGGCTGCTTCTCTCTGCCATGCTTCCCTCCCGTCTCTACCTGTGTCTACAACTAACCCATCTCAAGGTTACCTTACGTGATCATCACCATGGTGACGAAACACCCACAACGAAAGCTAACGACCCCCGAGAACACGGGGCAGGACACGGTGGCTCCAGGCAAACGCTTTGCACAGCGCTCTGAGGCAGGCACCGTTGTCATCAGCCACATGGTACACAGGAGGAAACTGAGACACAGGAGATCCAGTAAGTTGCCCAAGGTCACAGAGCTACTAAGGGGTGTAACCTAGATGCAAACACCCACTGACGCTGATGGCTCCAGAGACAAAGCTCTTCACTCACCCCCGGAGCATTCTACGACCTCCTCCACAGAGCCCCGGGGCTACAGCCCAACTCTGAATTCCCTCAGCCCTCTGATGGGCTGCTCCCAGGCCCTGGCTGGGTTCTACCCCATCTCACAGCCTGGAGCAGGTGCACGGCTCTCTTCCAGTAGACAGGATGCTCCGGAGGCCCCTCCGGGCCCAGCCCTGCCTCCCGGGACACCAAGCAAGGTCCTCTACTATCAGGATCTCCATCAACGGTGCTCAGACCTCCAACCCAGCCCAGGAACCCACGTCCTAGTCACCTCCCCAGATGGTGCTGAGCCCCACTCACTGACGAAGTGTTCTTGACCTGCAGAGGTAGCTGCTTGCCCTCGGACAGAGAGAAAGCTCTCACAACCACAGTCTGATAGCTGCTCCCCTTCAGCCTGACCCCGCTCCATCCCTGCTTCCGCGGTGGCGGCCCGCGCTGCAGCGGCTCCCTTTACCTGTAGCCATGGCCAGCCCTCCAGGACACGGTGGCAGAGGTCGGACCCTCTGCCCCCAAGCCCATTCTTCTCCAGCTGACATCGCCCCACTACCCCAGGGTGGGGATGAACGGAGAACAACCCCAGTTCACCAGGATGCCTCCCACAAAGAAAGCAGACGCTCAGCAATGCACATCCCACAAACTAAACCACTGTTCATACCTGATGGACGCTCTGTTGAAGAAAAGTCACCAGTTCCTCGTAGCAGGTCAAACTGTGGAGTACGAGCTGGGAAACACAAACACACAGGGTGAACTGCCCAAGCCCGGTGGATGGTCCCCCGTGCTGGATTAGTTTCTGTGGCCCTAACCTCAGCAGCTGCAAGACCCCACTGGGGAACATCCCTGCAGTCAGAGAGCGGCGACCTCGGGAGCGGTGGGGGGGAGAGGCACTCCTACACCTGTGTGTGATTTAAAGGCTGCAGGGCCCAGCTGGGGTCTCTGGGGCTCCCGCCCTGCAGCAACACTGAGGCTGCCTTTAGAGGCCCCAGGATTGGAGACATCATGGAACTAAAGCCACAGAGCCAGCATCATGCATGGGTGGCCCTGACGGGCGGGGCTGCACCCTGCAGGCTAGTCACAGATATCTGAGGAACACCTTGGGGGCGGGGAGGGTGGGGGGACAGGGGAGTACAGGGTGGGGGACCCACTCAGGTCGCCATCACCAGGCCTGTTCTGAGCCCAGCAGGTAGTGCCGAGTTCAGTGCACAGCAGTGGTTATGTGTCTCCTGTGCTTTCTCATGCAGGTCAGAAAAGAACACTTTCACAGATAACGTCCAACAAAGTGAGATGCTTAATTAAGATCCCAGGACCACGCATGCCCAAAAGGTCAAAGGAAACAAGCTAAGTAAAACAAAAATCCTCAGTGAAGAGGAGGTTAATTTGTGGGAGAGTCTCAGAGTTTCCACATTTTTACACGTCTCTCATCTCTCTCCTGTCCTTTGTCTTACTTGGGTCTGGCTTTCCAGCTGGTGCTCCGTCCATCAAAGCTCTTCTCTGCTCTCCAATTTCCTCTCCCTTGCACCCCCACTACCCTCTCATGGCAATCCCAGAGAGGATGCTATGACATAAAGGGGGACACGGGGAAGGCTGGGATTTAGCCAAAAGGCATGGTGCATCGAACGCTGGAGGCCTTCTGGCCATAGTCATTTCTGGCCAGAGCTCATCCCAAAGGCCCCCACCTCTGCCCGCACCCCAATCCCAGGTGGAGGATTCTGCTGGCCTGGGCCACAGGGAAGGCTGGCCCATCCCCAACTGAGGAAGGATTTACTTATATGAAAGGAGACTGTCCCCAAACAAAGCCAAAGGTTGCATGATAATTTTCCAGAAAGCCGTACTGTTTCTAAGACTCCATCTGCTTTGTATTTCCCGGTTGGACTGAACTGCTGTGTTCTCGAAGCCCTAAAAAGGAAAGGGAGATGCATGAGTCTCTGCGTGGAGAGAAGACATGCCCCAGAGCCAGGGCAAAAACCACACGGGCTGCTCAATGAGGACAAACCAAAAGGTGGGCCCAGAGGAAAGAAGGGAGCCAAGCGCACCTCGTTTCCCCGCTTTGAACTCACCCGCTAGGCCGGGGCCGGAGAACTCCACTAAACGGGAGGGGGTAGAGTGCGGGTGCTAATATGGGATGGAAAAAAGACAGCCAAAGGAGAGCTCGGGATAACCAAACCCAAATCCTGGTAGCAGGAAGTCTGCCTCTCACCCACCGACGAGCATGCTGCCAGACTAAGGAATGCTCACTTGCCCTTCGTCTTTAGGGACTTGAGGAAGTCCAGCCTCTGTCCTCTTGGAGGACATCTGTTTACACAGCACCTGCATGTGTGGCCCAGGAAGGCATGGACTAGAAGCTGCATTGGAGTTTGGGGCCACTATGACATTAGCCTGCTGTGCAGCCTTGGACCAGCCACCACCCCTCTCTGGGCTTCCGTTTCCTAATCTGTAAGGTAAGGAGACATTGAATTTTTGCCCCATATGCTCTCAAGGCTACCATGCAGATCATAAGGGCCAGGGTTTGTAAGTTACCTGGAACATGGGTACCAAGGACAAGCACTCGATAAGAACGATAGTGATAATGATGATGATACCTAACACTGACACGATACTTAGTATGAGCCAGACCTTATCCTAAGTGCTTCATACTATTACTTATCACTTATTTATATGGATAAATTATTTAAACTGATCGATGATATTGTCATTCATTATATACCATTTTACTTATGTTGACTCGTTCAATTCTCACATTCACCCCATTAAGTAATCATTACTATCACCCCTATTTTCCAGGTGAGTAAACAGGCTAGGCACAGAGAAGTCGAGTCAGCGAGTCAAGGTCACAGAGCCAACAAGCAACAGCACTGGGGGTCAGCCTTTTGAGTCCCTTAAGTTCTGTGCTCTACTGACCACTGTGCCCCCTTCCAGGGTGTGGCCCTTGTATCCGAAGGGCACCCCTTTACTAAAGCTTAGCCACACAGCTGGGATGAAGTGATGCTTCCACTCTGAAGGGTCAGGCTGAAAAGCCGGCAGACCATCCACATAGATTACGAGGATGGTATCCTCCACCAGTAGGACAGAGGTAGCAGGGAAGACTGCACTGGCTCCACCGCTGACCTCTCACCTCCCTGAGTCTCCTCACTGGAACGGGGATCCAAGTGACAGAGCAAATAGGAGCGTGCTTTGGGGACTTGGGGGAGCAGTACAGACGACTGGGTCGACCTAGAGGCTGTTTTCCGAGGCCTCCGGATCAGAGAAATGTAGAGGGGAGCAAGCTGCCGGTGAGGGGGCGGGGGGGGGGGGCCATGGGTTTTCTCAGGCAGGTTACATCCGCCAGCACCCCCTGCCGAGAGGGATCCCCAGATCTGACCCCTCTCGACCGGAGCCATGTGGAGGGCTGGCCCTCCCCTGGTGTGGGGCTGCCCAGCACATCAGGCCAACTCTCTGGGCTCCTCCTAGCCCGGAGCACAGGGCAGGGGTCTGGGAGGACACAGACACGGTCCTCAGGCCCAGACGGCCTGTGTGAGACGATGATTTCCCCAAGGACAGGAAAGCGCACAGCCAGCTGGCCTGTAGCTGTGCCCACCCGAGGTGGAGTGGTAGCAACACAGCCCAGGGGAGCACTTACAGTGTGACCACGGCTCTCTTGTGGCCTCCAGCCCGCCACACAATGTCCGCGATGGCCAGGGCCAGGCAGCGGGTCCTACGAGCGTTTGAAGGCTGCAGCTGCCTGAGGACGAAAAGGGAAGTGTGTTTATGCTTATGGGGACAGACATCAGAGACAGCACAGCCCTGTGGAAGATGGCCTGTCCTCTCCTCTGCTGCCCAGCGGAGCCCTGCGGCCCAGGGGCTCGGGCAGAGCCTGGGAGGAGGGCCTCTGCAGATGAAGACCAAGGGAAGAGCTGTGAGGGAGGGGCCCTGGCAGGGCTGGAGGAGGAACAGACTGAGGAAATCACCCACGGGAGCGAAGGGGCCTCTGGAGACTCGGCAGGGCCTGGAGCGGTGGAAGAAAAGGCTGCGGGTTCTGACAAAGCCCAGGGGACTGAGCCCGGCACTGCTGCCATCCCAGGCAGGGGCACCGCCCTGCCCCGCCCAGCCTTGGCCAGTCCCGACACCCAGGCCCCTGGAGACAGCGGCTCACGCAAGCAGGTGCCCCGCGCTCCCCCAGCTGACAGGAGACCAGACCACGAGTGCTGAGGGGAAAGTAGCCTGACTTGCCGGTTACTTGGACATAGGGCGTGGGGACGTGGGGAAGGGAGGATTCGGGATGACGGCTGGGCTTCTGGTGAGTGCGTGGTGGTGCCACCAACTGAAATGGGGAACACGGGAGGGGGACGGGGGGTGGCATGGGCAGCTGGAGGTGCACGTGGGACGACGGGTTGGGGACGGCGGGGGCGGGGGACGCAGCTGGAGGTGCACATGAGACGACGGGGCGGGGACTGGGGGGGCGGTGCGCAGCTGGAGGTGTACGTGGGATGCCCAGGTGAAGCCGTCGCTCTAAAGCCCAGGAGAGCAGCTCGGGCTGAGTAGAGGCTTACGAACCAGCTGCGTGTGAGGGGTCCTCGGCACCCCGCGTGGCTAAGATTTCCCAGAGAGAGGATGAGGAGGGCAGAGGCGGCAGCCAAGGCTGGAGCCTCGTGGAACTCCAGCGCGTGGGAGAGGCAGGGGAGGCAGGCAGGAAGGGCAGAGCTCGGAGACGGGCCGTTACAGTCTTGGGAGCAAAAGGGCTGGAGGACAGGCAGTCAGTGGTGTCAAAAATGGCAGAGAGGGGCTTCCCTGCCGCCTGCTGATGCAGGGGATGCGGGTTCGTGCCCTGGTCTGGGAAGATCCCACATGCCGCAGAGTGGCTGGGCCTGTGAGCCGTGGCCACTAAGCCTGAGCATCCGGAGCCTGTGCTCCGCAATGGGAGAGGCCACAACAGTGAGAGGCACGCGTAAAAAAAAAAAAAAAAAAAAAAAAAATGGCAGAGAGACCTCTTACCGTAAAAACGGCAACGAAGAGGCCCTTAGTGCATGAAGTCCGTGAGAAAGCCAGAAGAAGCAATAGCCACGTACAGACGCTCTTTCCGTCTCCAGGGCTCCACAGAGCTGTGCTTCTTGCCCACCCCTGGATTCTGGGAAGTTTTCTTAAATTCCTACGAAGGCAGGCTGAGTGTCCGAGTGTCTCACTACCTAACCAACAAAAGGGGCTTGACGCCAGGGCTCCCAGCACCGTAGAGGGAGCTTCCGTGTTTTCATTCACCAAGTACCCTAAGCTCTAGGCTGGGCTGTTGGGTGGGGAGCAGGTGAAAACTGGTGTTTGTCCTTGCTCTCCAAGATAGGAGAGGAGAACCCGGAGACCAGGACACAGGTCACCATGGTGGGCAGCATGTGGTCACGGCCCAGTCCCTGGGCCACAGAGCCAGCCGTCTGCACCTAGGCTGTTGTGGTCCAGTGACTTTAAAGTGGTAGGCAACGTGACATAGGGTCCCTCAGTTTCCCCATCCCTAGACTGGCTGGGGCAGTAGTACCTCCTTCATCATGTCGGGAGCTTTAAATGAGATGATCTGTGTAAGGTCCATGGCCCAGTGCCTGGCATGTGGAGAATGCTCAATAAAGGGTACCCATTGCTGTTGTCTTTATGGAAATGTCAAGCGCCCACTTTGGCTGTGGCCAGAGAGTTCACAGGATGGTGAACTCCCTGTATCTGATGTGAAAGTGACAACAAGCCGCCGACACCAGGCAATGCTTCTGACTCAATGAGACGCAGACTGCCTGGTGTGTCTGCAGCCTCAGGAAGCCTGCCTGCTCCTCTGGAAACAGCTACCACACCACCAGCAAACCAGGCACCTGAGATTCGGGAAGCACTGGCCCTGGGCCACTGTCAACTATGAAAGCAAAGGTGAGGAAACACTGCTCTGGGATTCAGGAGAGGCTGCCAAGGACCAAGGAGGGCCTGGAAAGCAGGGCTCATCGGACAAAGGAGAAAGGATCCGGGTGCGGAGGCAAAGGCCAGCGAGGGCAAGGGCCTTCCCCAAGGCCTTGAGCCAGGAGTGGAACCCAGGCCCGGCCACCACGCTTCTCCCAGTGCTCCTGTTTTCTGGAGAGCTGTGTGTGGAGCTGACGCAGGGAAGAGCATGCTGGAGAACGATGGAGAAACTAAATGGAAGCCAATGAAAAGAATGAGAACTTTTGTGTAGAAACACGGAAGTTCAGAGGGTCTGTACATTAGAGCCTGTGAGACCTGGAAGATAGGCCGGGCCCAAGAGCCAGATCTCTTGATAGCGTTGCAGGTGCAGGAGAGAGGGGCTCAGAGGCAAAGGGATGCTGGTCCCCAACACCAGGAGCTCCAGATGGCTGGTTCCACCTCGCCACGCTCTCCTTCCCTCACTGCTGTTTCACTTTGCCCAGTTTTTACTAACTGTGTGACCTTGGGTGAATCATTTAGTCTCTGTGCCTCAGTTTCCCCCTTTTAAAAGGGGACGATAATAGTGCCTCCTTCACAGGGTGGTTTTAATGATTAATGAAGTAATAGGTGTGGAGTGCTTCTAACAGTGCCTGGCATGCGATAAGTACTTAATATTTGTTGGTTTTTAAAATCTTATTTGTGGCTGCACTGAGAAGCTTTCAGGCAAGCGTTACCTGCTTCAGTAAGTTAGTGTGGACCACAGTGAATGTTTGCAAGGTGACCTGGTAGCTCCGTCTGGAGGTGTTCCAGCACAGACGTTCTAGACAGAGGATACAATCCAGGCATAACTTTACCCCGCTCCTGCCCATGTCGAGGGATCTAGCTGGGGAGCGCCCTGGTCGCACCTGTGCTGTAGGAGGAGCCTGTGATGAGTACGTACAGTGAGGACAGGAGGGAGGGCAAGATGAAGCAGAAGTGCTGGTCGGGCACTGGCCGTACAGCTCAGCTGAGGAGCAGGGCACCCCAGTCCTGGGCAGGGGCGGGAAGGGGATGGGCGTGGGTGCTCAGGAGGTGGGACTGACACGACCGGCGGTCACCTGGATGGGGGTGGGGCAGGAAACAAGCTCTGGGGATGACGAAGTCCACTACCGTGGGTTGTGATTCCAAGGAGATGAGTGTCCAAAATGCAGACCCTGGGCCAGACGCCCCCAAGCAGCATTCCAGCCCGGCCCTTCTGCCAGGTAACCGGCCACAGGGTATTCAGGGCTGGGGTGCGTGCGGATGACAAGAGGGAGGAGGGAGGCGCTGCAGTGACTCGCCGGCCTCCACCTTCACCGGGGAGCTCAGGGTCTGCCTTCTCCTCGGTGACCAGGGTGGTCCTGCACTTCCTTCATCAGTCACGCACGCGCTTATCCAGCCCCTGCCGCGCATCTAGCACCTGGCCGGGCTCTTGCACCTAGAGAAGTTTCTTTAAGAGCCTCTCATGCCTCACACAAGAAGTGCAGGATTTGTCTAAGGGCGGGCGATGGGCGTCAGGAAGTAATACACCCTGTGTTTGGCTTAATACCCAGGTCTTCCAGATTACAAAGGTGTCTCTACCGTCATTAACTCACAACAGGCTCGCCAGTCCACCCTGACGTGCCCGCTAGTCTGAGCCCATAGGAGAATCAGAAGAAAGCTGGCGAGTGACTGCAGGCCTTTCTGGCCCCTTTCAGGTCAAACGCTGCCAGAGCTGGCCTGGGGGCCACAGACCTGGGTTCCAAGCGCGCCCCCGCTAACGGGTCCAGAGGGGCCTTGGGCAAGTGCCCCTCCTTCTCTGGGCCTCGACTTCCCCAGTTGGAAAGGGAAGTAGAGGCGAGAGGACAGCTCCCTTGCCTGTGGCGCTCCCCAAGCCCGCAGGGGAACGAGGCTCCCCATCGCTTCCCATGAGCCCAGCCGGCTGGCACAGCCCTCCTCAAGTGGAAAAACACCGGGCCCTGCCGCCCGGCTCTGTCATCCCCAGTTGAGGAGAGGCCGGCTGCCGGCCTGATGGGATGAGTCTTAATGAAGCCAGACAGTCCTGCAGAAAAAAACACCACCTCTGCCAAGAAGCCTTTATTTCAGCATGATTTCCCTGGAGGCCGCAGTCACATCCTCGTGCGGCTTCGTAAACTACAGAGCCTAAAGAGCCGCACCTTGGTCACTGGGGGTCCATCTGGGTGTCCAGCCCTCAGGTGTTTCAAGCCCATGACACTCAGCCTCCCGGCACCAGCCCCTCCTGGCCTCTCTGGCTCGCCTGGGGCTCAGAGTCTCTTCTAGGGCACAGTGTGGTGTGACAGATGTGCTTGGCTCTGCCCCGGAGGTCAGGTGTGAACCTGGACAAGCATCTTTCCCTCTCTGGGACTCAGTTTCCCCATATGTACCACAGCAGGCGATCTCAAGGTCCCACCCACTTGCACAGCCCTTGATTTACAAAGGATTTGGTTTGCATTTCCTTACTGAGTCAGACTTGGGCAGGACAGAGATTCACAAATGGAGAAAGTGAGCCCTTGCTGGCCCACAACTGTAATCCAGGTCTCTGGCTGGTCCAGTGCTCTCTTCAGCAACCGCCATCCTGGGACAAGCTAAGGACCACAGAGCTGGGCACTCCCCGCAGCCTCAGCACGGGCACCTATAGGCTGCGCCGACACCCACTTGGCAAGGACGACTTTCTGTGGCCTCCAATCTGCAAGGCCTCACCTCAGCAAACGGCGACCAGACTCCGCTCTCACCTCCCCCCTCGGCTGCCAGCCCCAGGCCCCGGCCGCTCACTCCCCTGGCCTTTGCTTGTCCCACGTCCTAGCCTGAACCCAGGAGGACTCTCTCCTCTCGCCCCCAGTCAGCCTCCAGCCCGGAGGCAGGCTCATGCCTCAGCAAAGCTGGGTCCACAGCAGCGGAAGCCAGAGGAGGAGACATAGGATGGGGGGCGTGGAGGCAGCCGGTACTCCTTGCCCACAGCCCATCACCACTGGGACCTCCCCAAGCTGGTCCCCCTCGGAGCCCTGTCTCCCTGAGTCCCCTGAGGCACTTTCAGCGGTCTGGGCTAGATGAGAGCAGCCGGGTCACGGGGCCAAGCTCTCCGCCCCTCCCTCTCGGATGGGTAGGAAGAATGCCCACTATTGGGCCTGCTCGGCCACCAGCACCAGCAGGAAGCCAGACCGCTACGCTCAGCCTGCATGGACAGCAGCTCTGGGCGCAGGGCCTGGGGCCGCAGGCGTGGAGGTGCAACAGGGGAGGGACTTACGAGGAGCACCCACGGTTGTGGGACTCCAAAGGAAGGTGAGGTCACTCTTCTGCAGCATGAGCCCTTCCGCGCTTCCCGTGGGCGGGACTCTGCCTGGCCAGCAGGCCGAGCTCTCCTGGCTGCTCGGCACAGGCCTCCTCTGGCCCACCCGGGCAGCCTTCCCCCAGAGCGGGGCTCCTTCCCACCAGGCGCACCCCACACATAGCTCCCAGCAGCCAGCAGCCCCTTCCAGCCTCCTCCCCTCCTGGCTGCTCGGCACAGGCCTCCGAGGGCCTTCAGTCTAGGCTGTGGCCCCATCTCTTCTTCCCACAGCTGGCACAGCTTTCTCTCTGCCCAGAGCCCGTCTTGGGCCCCCAGCCTGAATGGCTTTCTGCCTTCCAAGCCCTAGCTCCCCTCTCGGGTGTGGCGAGCAGAACTCTCTCCCGAGGGCGTGCCTGGGGATCCAGAGGCTGTCACATCCCTTCAGTGGGGCTGTAGGGCGGGCAACAAGGAGCCAAGCCTGCCTTGTGCCCTGGGCAGAAACGGCCCTTCCGGGAACCAACTTATACACCCCTTCCTGACTGTTGGGAAATGATCTACAACTTCCCCCAAGAAGTCCAAAGTCCAAGTTCAAAAGCAGCTCTGAAGGGACGTGGGAGCTGAAATGAATTATCAAACACCTCCCACGAGGGCCAAGGCCAAGGCTTGACCTGAGCAAGCCGCTGGGCCCTGAGGGCCCTCTGGCAGCCTGGCCAGGGTCTCGCCCTGCCCCCTACACTCTGCCCTGGCCACTCCCTGCCCTCGGGCCTCTGCACATGTTGTTCTCCTTACTGGAATACTACCCCCTCCCCTCCCAGTCAGTCTGGATAACTCATATGTTTGTCTGTGAGTTCATTCAGCAAAAGTTCCGAGGGCCTCTGCTGTGCACTAGGCCCGGGGCTGGATGCCAGGGACTGGCTACGGCCCAGGCAGCTTAGGAAGGCCCCTGCTCTCAGGGGGGCTTGTGTTCTGGGGCACAGACAATGGACAGGTAATGACTTGGATAAAGAGGGCAACGAATGGTGGGGGCCTTGCAGGCAGCGTCTGGGGAGGTCGGGGAAGGCGGCCCTGAGGCAATGGCCTCTGCGCGTGAGGAGCCTGGGAAGGACGCTGAGGGATTTGCTGGGAAAGGAGAAATCGAGGGAGGAACAAGCCTGTGCGAGGGTGTGTGCGAAGCCAGAGCCCTGCTCATCCTCCGGATCTCAGTAAGATTAAAATGTCACTCCGCCAGCAAGCCTGCCTGACCCTCTTCACGCCCGGGTGGGCCCTGAGCTCCCTGCACGTCCCCCTGGGACCTCCTGTTCATCTGGCTCTCGTGTTCAGTCGTAGGTGCCATGAGCGCAAGGCCACAGCTGCCTTGTTGAGGCCCGCACGCCCTCCAAGCGCCTATTAAGTCCTCCCCGTGCGCCTCTCTCCAGTGCAAGGAGGGAAGGTAGGGGTGGAGGTGCGTGTGTGCTCGGAGAGGGTCCCTGCACCCTTAGAGGGCAGGCAGCCAGAGGTCCCTCGCTTAGCCAGTCCCACCCAACCAGCCAGCCAGGAGCGCCCCTGACCATCGGACACTGACTGTGCGGGCCGCACTTTGTTGGACTGGACTCCAGAGCAGGCACTGGGGAGAACAGCACAAGGTCAGACCTTGCTGTGCAAAGGTTGTGTCGCTGGGCTTCCGGCTGTAGTTACGCTATGTTTATGGTTAGCGTCTTTCAGCTTGAAACCAAGCACCCTGATTGTTACTTTGTAAAGTAATTAGACAAATCATATTATCGGACAAATTCTGAAATGCCAAGCATGAAAAGCCACCTTCACTTGGATCCTGTCTAAGGCCACATCCTCTAAGCTGGTAAAATGTGTTTCGTTTTGTACAAGCTTGGCTGGATGTCTGGGGAACTAGTGTCTTTCCCAGGAATTTGAACGTGAATAAATGGGGGATGGGCCTTGTTTTCTTTAAAAAAAAAAAAAAAAAAAG